GCATTGAAGGGACACATGAAGGGACCCGATGCATCGTACCGGCCTCCTGCCGCTGGACCCCCCCAAAAAAGCCAGTGAGCACAGAGGGACACGACGTGGCACAACGTGGGCTGAAGCTCAAGTGGAAGGGAATTTAGAAGAGCAGAAGTTCGGGGACGTCACGCGTCTCTCTGAATCACGCTGAATGTCTGCGCTGCACTTTGTTGGCCCCCCCCCCGGTTCGAGGTCCACACATGTGCAGCACAAACGTCCCCTTGTTTCGCACGCTGCTTTGTGAACCGTAAAACACTCGCGTTAATCGGTAATTAAAACGGGTTTCTTTGCGGTTATTTCTGCATATGTACGAGAGGTTTTTGGGGAAACAACTTGGCAATAAATCCTCATTAACCCCCCCGACAACAAAGCTGTTGTCTGTCCTTGAGAGCGATGGACTCTGTTATAAAAGCGTCTTTGATTTCCCTGCCAAGCCCAGAACCGTGCGGATCAAACATGGTTATTATTTATGACATGGCTCCCGGGCTGGGGGGGTGCTGGGGGGGGGGGAGCCCGGTCAACCTCTCCGTCTTGTTTACAGTTGCTGCTGGGTTGCATTAAGCGCAGTCAGAGACCAGTTAGTAGCCCGAGCCCAGATGTCCAGGTTTTTCTCGCACGCATTAATTCACCGATCCAGGCGAGGGGGGGTTGCTGTGAGCAGTCTGCGCCGCGTTAGCCACTGTCTCTCTCGTAACTCTCTCAAAGACCAGGGGGGTCGAACTTTTAAAGCTTTTTGCCAATTAAGGGTAAGCAGATCCACTCCTTCCCACATTTCTAATTCCACTTTCCATCAGGTGTCGGCAGCGGGGGGCGTGACGGGAACGGCTCGTGACAGTCGTGACCCGACTCGGGGGCCTTTTCCACACACTGGTAGCGTGAGCCCACGTCGCCGGCGTTGGCCTTAATGTCCTCGCCGGGGTCACGTACGGCTTCTCATCTCACCGCCTCCATTTTGGAAAGTGGGCGGCGACCTCCCCGCACGGAACGAGGTCGTTGGCTCCAACGCGACTCCCCCCCCGCCTCCCGACCTGACGGCACCTTGGTCGTGGTTTGTTCATACATTGGTAACGGGGCTGTTTTGTGGCTGTAAAGACGTTTCGTGTTTATCCTCCTCCAGCTTAAGTTATCTTGTTTTTCTTAAGCTGCTTTTTAATTCAGAGAAGCCAATGACACAGAATGATTGCAGACCATCTGAACAAAAAAAGGAAAATCCATATTTACAACTAATTAAGTAACTGGTTTATTAAAGAGGGAGAACACCATAAATCTTAATTACAGGATTACTCATTTTTCAGATGTTTTGGTCCAGTAGCTGCATTTTAAAAGAGGTTCTGTGAATGAGCGGTCGGTTTACCACAAATCACCGTTATTTCACATCAAACGAGGTGCTAATAAGGCCCTTTCCTTTCAAATAAGCTCAGTATTTTGGGGATTTTGGGTTCAAGTTTCTTTAAAGTACTACTTAATTCTTCGTGAGTGGGTGTAAATCTAGATAAAAGTTTTTATCTAATAAACACAAACGACTTTATTTATTCATGACTGTCAGCTAAAACTACAAGCTGTAAAAATAACAATACTCATAAACCTTTCAACAAATAAAAGCATTTTTTTTTTTTATATATTCTAGGTGGCCAAAGAAAACGGCTTGCTGGTGACTTTTGTGAAAGGAAACAAAATTACTTTTATTCCTCCTTAAATGAAGCCAGCCGCCGTTTATTGTGTGCAAAGAACAAAAGCAATTGCATCAGAACAAACACCGAGGTTTACTTTTTATTTGCTGAGTAAATGAGTATCAGCGTAATTAATACGTACAGACAAAGTGGCTCACGCCTCGCTGAGCTGCCACGTAGAGATCCTCACTCCACACCATAACGCTTCCTCTCCTCGGGCTAAAGGAGGAACACGGGGCCGGTAGCTATGAATCATGGGCCCTGCGAAGAGGAGGTGCTCCCCCCGTGTCTCATGGGCATGCGGGGGAAACAATCTGTATCGTTTGTTTCCCTAGTGTCACAAGAAGAAACACTGGAAGGCCTCAGCGACGTCTGGTGGGGATGAATTTCCGGGCCTGAAAATATTGGCGACTGTGTGAGACTTTAACCGGCACATGACATTTTGGAACTCCCCCCGCAGCACAACACACCCACCCACCACCTCCTCCCTCAGTTGTACACCATGACCTCCGGAGCCCGAGAGGTCGACGAGGGTCTCCGCGTTGGTTCCCATGGTTGGCTGTCCGGTCATCAAGGTGTAAGAAGGTAGGGGGGGGGGGGGGCTTAGAGGGGGTTTGGGGGTCCGCCCCCCTCCGCTGAACTCCTGAACCCCCACCTCCTCCCGCTTCACGGGGTAAAACCATTTTAACACGCGCCATTCTCCGCCGGGTCAGGCCCGGGGTCTCCGGCCTTTCACGCGTTAGCTGCTAATGAGGTTTCAAAACCTCTGCGGAGACCCGCGGGGGGGCGAGGGGGGGGGGGGGGCGTCTGACCCCCCCACTCAAGAGACGGAGGCGCGTTGGGACGCCCTCGCTGTCGGTCAAATCACTTGTGACGTTAAACCGCTGAACAATGTGCAGTCTGGCAGAGGGGAGGGGGTAAGGGGGGGGGGCACCGGGAGGAGGAGTTTGATTATCCGCCAGGCGTTTTGGTAAAATCCACCACTGCAATAAATAATCTTATTTTTAACTCTAACCTACATTTAGCTGTATGTAATTGAGGCATCGGAACATCAGTCCACAGACTGGAAAAGTTATTTGTAAATCCCAAATCTCCAGAGACACGAGAACGGAAGTTGCCACTGAAGCAGAAAAAAGGAGAATAGTGAGATTAAAGAATGAATGTTTTCAAGCTACAGCTCCCTTTGATTATTTTACACCACATTTTACAACATCAAAAACAGATATGGCAACACAAAATGTTGTCCTTCAGATTTCGTGTATGTTTCAACTAGTTTTGTGTCTCTATTCCAAATTAAGATAACTACATCAGATAAGCATTTTTTACAATGTAATACACTTAAATATGTGGAGTAAAACTAGTCACAAAAACTCGTCCCCACTTAGCCGTCTCCTCTCTGCGTTCTGATTGGATTCGGCCACAATCACATTAAGTCATTATCTAGAATCAGTTTTTACCGTGATGCAAGTTCATCATAATTTACATTTATAGATAATAACTGGGAAAACACAACAGAGTTTTAACAATATGCAGCTGGAGCCCTGTGTGTGTTTCCCTGTGTTTGCCACAAGTCATTTTTATTATTCCGTTTTTGTGCACATTTGAAAAGGCAAACATTATTATTTACAACGTTATACAATTCTAAATTGTATAATAGTCCCCGTAACTTGGTATTTGTCAGTTGGAACCAAAAACTATGACGTGGACATGTTTTGATGCGTCAAATAAAAAATCTTTTATATTAAATATTGAGTCTCCAGTCGCCAATTATTTAAATTAAATTATTTGTGGGCACAATGTAATTATAAATTTTTTTTAAAAAAATGTAAAAGTTTACATTGACAACAAATAAAAGGACTACTGTTCACTGTTTAATAACAGATCTTATTTTTATTGAGGAGAGTCAAGTTGGGCTTTCCATTTTTAGAAAATAAACCAATGACAATATTACAAATAATGAAATTGTTACATCATTCACAGGGTTACAGTCAATATACATTTGTACAGAAATACAGGAAATCCCACATCAGTCACAGTGGTCTGAACCGGCACTGGTTTACAATGTGGGCTTCAGAGGACCGGCGCGGCGGGGGGGGCACGTGGAGGGCCCCTCGCCATACTCGCCTACAGCCAGAGTGGTAGTGGGAGGGGGTGGGGGGGTACCGAGGGAAACACGGGGTCATGTTGGTGGTGGGGGGAGGGGGGGGGGGGTCTGAAAGTTCGTCTGAGCAGCAGCCAGCGAATGTCCGTCGGCTGGAGCTCGTCCGACCGCCGCGGCAGCAGAGGGCGCTCTGCCGCTTCGCGCGCCCCATTAAAACAGGGAGACATTTTCTTTTCCACCCCGGCAGGAAGGGGTGCTGCTGGCGTCCCGGCGAGGCCCCCCCCCCCCCCCCCCCCGCCGTGTTTGTGTGCACACTATCACGTAACGGAAACACTGAGACTCGACGGGTTTCCGGATGTAAGAGCAGAGAACACGGTGTATTTTTGCTGGAAGCTGCTTCCAGTTCCATATCCAGAGGAACCCTTTTCAAAACGCTTTATTTAACACCAGATTCGCTGGAGTCTGTGTGGGTGGCAGATTTTTGTGTGCTTTAAAAAGCTACAATAAAACTACATCAGAAAAGTTAAATAATACATCGTTGTTTCTGGTAAAGTGAACAGTAGAAAACAAACTGCATTCAAGGGGGAAGAAAGCAAGTGAATGTAACATAAAGGGCAATAATACCTTTCTGTATAAACAAATCTTGAATTGACATACAGTGGATTTTATTTTCCCAGTGATCCAACGGTCAGTTTCTTACCGTGAAAGTAATTTTTACAGAATTTAATTAAATATTTACTTTGATTTCATGGAGGCGAGAAAATAAATCACTATAAAGAGAAATACTTTTTTTTTTAATTTCAGAATTCCTTAGCCAGATGATACGTTTATTTAAATTTTATATACATTTTTCTGTATTCTACCATTTGGACATCGGGGCTTTTTCGTGTAATAAAAACAAGTCAGAACCACTTGGAAACACGTGGCGTAAGTCTGTCCGTTACTTCCCCGCCATCGTCGCTCAGCCTCAACTGCAACGACGTCTTTCTAAATCACAAGATAAATAAATACTTAATGCAACGCTTTCAAACACGCCACATTCAACCAAAAAGGTTTTCACGAAACTCCTTCAGATAAAAATAGAAAACACCAAGCTCACCCTTCAGAAGTTCGGCAAAACGTATCCTCTTATCAAAAATACCCACAGAATGCAACAGAAAGTGGAGTTCAGCACTATTTTATGTCGAGCAATAAGCATGCCCGGCCTCTTCCGGAGTAGTTCCTTGGAGGAAAGGTCGAGGGTGATTGCTTGGTTAATAACTCAAAGTCCCGGAGGCGTGTGCGTGTGGACGGCGCTTCAACGGGGCGCCTGGTTCGCGCTCCTCCGATTCATTTTGGGTTGTTTTTCTTTCCCCCCCGACGGTGGAGTATTTGCCGCGAGAAGACGTGCAGCCTCGGCCCCGCAAAATAACAAGCGATGAGCTGCTGAGAAGGTCTAAAGCTCGGCACCTGGAAGCAGACTGCATGTCGGAGGCTTTGCAAAAAAAGGAAACATTCACACTAAGGATGGAACAAAGAAGTCCCTCCCCTGATAGCCTCGACTTCTGTGGAGAGCTGCGGATAATGGAAGGTAACTCTCAGTGAGGGAGGTTTACCACTTTCCTCAAACGTCTGCAGAGACGCCACCAAAGGCTCAGGTTAAGTCTGAGGATTTGGTTCGAGCAAACATGGAAGCGTGGTCTTTTGGAGTCGCTCGCTTTTTCTTTTCTCTTTTTTTTTTTCTGTCCACATTCTTCGGGGGGGGGCGTGCATCATCACGACGAGACGAGACGCGACCGCCCGACTGTCGGCTCGCCCGCTGCTGTGGATGCTTATAAAGACAAAACCAGGCAACTGCTGAAGGCCGGCTGTGTGGAGATCAGTGGGAGCGGCAGACAGGTGGCCCAGCAGAGAGGGAGGGAGGGAGAGTCGGTGGTTAGAGCGGCTGTGATCGGGGGGGGGGGGGGGGGGCCTCCCCGCTGCGACCGGACACATCTGACCGATAGCTCACAGCTGGACGCCGTGTCTGGTTTTCAGTTCTGGAAGCGGACTCATGTAGGCCCCCTGCCCTGCGGATCCCTTAAATGGCCGGTGTAAATAACCCCCGCGGGTTTCATTGTTCCAGGAGGCCCCCCTCCCCCCCCCCCCCCCCCCCCCCTCTCCCCTCCCTCCCTCCCTCGGCAAAATCCATAATGCCAGGTTACGGATAAAAACGCAAAACCGTGATTGGAAGCCGTGTCCGGGAGAAGCTCACAGTAAGCGTTTAAGAATCCAAGCGAGCCACAGGGACATGTGGGTTTGTGCACCAACATGATTCATGTCTTATAATAAATGTATAAGCATTGATGGAAGATCAAGAGTGTTTGTTGGAGTCCAACTATTGACTCAGAGCAGAAAAAAAACAACCTAAAAGTAATAATTAAAATAACAACTCATTAATATCCATACAGAAATTGCAAAAATATAACACATTGCGTTTTTTTTATTCAACAAACTCTGAAGTCTCTTCGTGGCCGCGTGTAGGATCCAAACTTTGATACTTTAAAATGTCCTTTCAAGAGGAAAACTGGAAGAATGCAAGTGTGTCGAGTCCTGGTGATCAAAGCACTGTGAAAGGAAGCACTCACTCAGCACGCCATCCAACACCAGGCCATCCAGCAACAGGCCATCCAGCATCACGCCATCCAGCATCACGCCATCCAGCATCACGCCATCCAGCAACAGGCCATCCAGCATCACGCCATCCAGCATCACGCCATCCAGCATCACGCCATCCAACACCACGCCATCCAGCATCACGCCATCCAGCACCAGGCCATCCAGCACCAGGCCATCCAACACCAGGCCATCCAACACCAGGCCATCCAGCATCACGCCATCCAGCATCACGCCATCCAACACCAGGCCATCCAGCAACAGGCCATCCAGCAACAGGCCATCCAGCAACAGGCCATCCAGCATCACGCCATCCAGCATCACGCCATCCAGCATCACGCCATCCAACACCACGCCATCCAGCATCACGCCATCCAGCACCAGGCCATCCAGCACCAGGCCATCCAACACCAGGCCATCCAACACCAGGCCATCCAGCATCACGCCATCCAGCATCACGCCATCCAACACCAGGCCATCCAGCAACAGGCCATCCAGCAACAGGCCATCCAGCATCACGCCATCCAGCATCACGCCATCCAGCATCACGCCATCCAACACCACGCCATCCAGCATCACGCCATCCAGCACCAGGCCATCCAGCACCAGGCCATCCAGCATCACGCCATCCAGCACCAGGCCATCCAGCACCAGGCCATCCAGCACCAGGCCATCCAGCATCACGCCATCCAACACCAGGCCATCCAACACCAGGCCATCCAGCATCACGCCATCCAGCACCAGGCCATCCAGCATCACGCCATCCAGCACCAGGCCGTCCAACACCAGGCCATCCAGCATCACGCCATCCAGCACTAAGCCATCCAGCATCACGCCATCCAATACCAGGCCCGCCACTTCTTCAGTGCACGTGTATGTGTATATGTGTGTGTGTGTGCACAACACGTGCACGTTTGCACAGCCGGCGTAGGAGATGGGCGGCGCTATAACGGGACGGGCTGTACGTAGGCGGACTCTGACGTAAACAGTAGAACCCGTTTGTTCGTGAGGGAATCTGTGTGGGACGTTGTTTGTTTGTTTGTTTGTTTTGTTTGCTGGAAACAGGTTAAATCTCCGTGCCGTTCGGTTCTTCTGCTCGGGTCAAGTGGGTCCGATATGTACAGCACAGGGGGCGGAGGGGTGGGATGCCAAAAGGGGAGGGGTTTGGTTTGGGCTGTGTGAGTACTGTGAGGACTTCACTGTGGACCATTTACATAAAAAAGAAAGTTGTCTAAAGTGAGAGGAAGTGTTGTGAGACAAAATTCTTCATCACAAAATAGCAAATCAGTTGAGGAAAGTTTTTTTTTTCTCCTTCTTTTTCGTGAGTGTTGATTTCACTGTGGGAAGTGTCAGTCTTAATGAATATGTTTTTTTGACATCAGTTTATGCCAAATGTCGTCCATCTCTTTTCTCTCCCGGGGAAACGCTTCGGGAGGGAACATCGGGCGCTCCGTCTCCTCTCTGGTTCGTCTCTCAGAAGGCTGCACAGTTTCCTCATGATGTCTAAAATTAAAAAGATTTAAAGACACGTGGCCTCGCCCCCCCAGCTCTTCTTGTTTTCTCGGTTTATTTTTTGTCGCCCTTTTAAAGGGTAGCTCTCCTACTCAGCTTCCTTTCCTACAAGCTCATATCACCTATAACCATAGATACAGTAAACTCCTTTTTCTTTTCTTAGTTTTCTTTTTTTTTTCTTTAAAAAATTCTTTACAAAGTTATCAGAAGAAACAAACGCCTCCCCCCCCCACAAAAAAAAAAAATGGTGGAAGATTGTAAAAGGTGTTGCGGGTCACTGGCTCCGTCGCTCCGTGTGCGCCTCGTCCCCTTTGACCTTAGTCTCAACAGCTGATCCTGGGGGACCAGAGGACAGAGGGAAGTGGAGAGGGACACGAGAGGGGGGGGGGGGGGGGGGGTAAATGGTTATCCGTGGGAAAACACAATATCACTGTAATGCAGAAAACCCAAAAGTAAAACCGTCCCACTCCATCCTCCTCTGCCGCCAGAGCACCGGCATCCAGCTGCCTCCTCCCCCCTCTCCTCTGCTCCGCTGGGGGGTTATGGAGGGTGTGGGGGGGGTGGGGTCAGACCTCCACTGACTGGATCTGGTTCATCTGTGCCCGCATCATCTGGACGCTGTTGAGGATCTTCTTTTGATGGCCCGCTAACGTCACGCCGACCCCGAGGATGTCCCTGTGAGGAGAGACCGGCTCGTGTTACCGCAGACTGACAGAATATTACATCCACACCGTACAGCAGCCATGCATCCTGTCCATCAACAACGTGACGACAGCGGGGCGGGCCACAGAACCGCCGAATGGCCGAGATGACAGTGAAGCAGCGGGCCAGGAAACAGCTGCGTCTTCGTGCGTCTTCCGAGGCCTGGAGGCTTTTAAGAGGTCGAGATAATCGTTTTATTGTTTCACTCCTGACTCCCCCCCCCTCCCCTCCCCCCATCTCACAGCACCACAAGAAATGCAAAGAAATTTACAGCATCCCGTTGGCTCGCGTGTATGGCGGACGCAGCGTGGAAAAAACGGCGGGTTCCTCCTGGTATCGAGGCCCTGGCCTTTCTTATTAATAGCAGAGCATCAGCTTTCTCCTGTTTCTGACTCTCAGCAGTAATCACACTCATTGGATCACACAGCGCAATCAGTTTTTGTTCTAAGAATTGAAGCTCCACTTCTCCGCAGGTTTATCTCTGGCTCCAGAGACAGGAAAGTATTTTTTCTTTTTTTTGCTCTCCCATTGTTTCGGCTAATCAATTGCATTTGGAGATGTTTCCCCCTTGATCGTTGAGCGGAGGTACGAGAGAGGCCTGCTGAACATGGCAGAGAATGAAGGCCGACGTTGCCGGCCTTGAGCTACTCTGCTACTCATCCCTGCAACTGCGCGGGCGCCGCGATCCGCGGATCACACGCGGCGCCGGCCAGCGTCCCCTTATAACCGCCTGGTGCTTCTTCAGGGACGTTAAACGGGTGTTTCCTCGCGGCTATCGGGAGCCAGAACGGAGCCCATTAGCACTTACTCCATGGTCATCTGGGACACCACATCAAACGTGGAATAGTCGGCGCCGGCAAAGTTGTCTTTGTACTGGCCCATCTTGATGGCATCCAGCCACTCGTCCACGGTGCTGAAGCTGGAGAAGTCTGGGATGCTGCGGTCCAAGAGGGGGAGGTGAACACTGACGGGGGACACAAGCAGGAGCCATTAGGAGTGATGATGATACCACATGACGGGTTTCAGGTCGAAGATAACCCGGACCACGTGCATGCGATTCAACCATGAATTATTGCATTTTATTTTTCAAAAGAACAGAACTCGGGAGATCCCCACTGGCCGTATCCCGCAACGGATATTTTCCAAACTGATTCCTCATAAAGGTTTTTTTTTTTTCCAAATGAAGTGATAGGCTTTAAGGAGCCAATGTATCCCCCGAGTGTCTGTGGAAAATATGTCTCTCGGTCCCGCACGCCACCACAAATGGAAGTACAGACGGGGGGATAATGGAGATCCGTAAAGCCCTCGGCTCTCAAAGGAAACTAACACCCGGGGCAGAAACGCTTTCAAATGTTTTTGTTTGCTTCAATCCAGGTTTCGCCCGAGGCATTGGAATTGGTGGAAAGGATTTGATTTATCAAACCGAAGACCTTTAATTTATATAACCGCTCGGCGCCACGAGAAACAAGAGACACTGCGAATCGAAAAAAAAACAAAAAACGACGGCAACGGATGGCACGTTGGCCCGAGCAAGCGGGGGAACGGCTTCGCATTTAGAGAAGATCAGATGCATTATATTGTTGACGATGTTATCCACATCAATGCGAAAATGACGCTACAACCAGGGTCCCCCCCCCCCTCGCGGGAGATAAAACCCACATGGGGAATAATGCAGAACACACTTTTAACACCGGCCGGTCGTAAACCACATGTCACGACTCAAGAGGCGAGACGGACGGCCTGTCGCTCACCCTGAAGACAGCGGGGTCGTGGCCTTCAGCGTGCTGGGGTTGCGGATCATCTTGTCCAGGTTGTTGACGATCTGACTGAACTTGGGCCGGTTGTTGCGCTCCTTCTGCCAGCAGTCTAACATGAGCTGGTGCAGCGCGCTGGGGCAGTCCATGGGCGGGGGCAGCCGGTAGTCCTGCTCTATGGCGTTGATGACCTGCAGGGGGAGACACACGGTTGCTACGGGGCTCCGCGGAGAGGGGGGGGGTGGGGTTGATGCAGAGGAGACGTGGTATCGTGCAGTTTTTACTTCTTTTTGATGGATAAATAGATTGATGGATAAATGTTTAAGCTGCTTGATTACTGTTTATCATTATTGTTACTCCTAACAACATCTAATCAGAACAAGGGGCCCCATGTAAATACTTTAAAAAGAGTCATAAACCAAATGACTGGAACCAGTACTTTAATCTCTATAGAAATAATTATTTGTTCATCTTAAACTGAAAAATAATTAATGTTGCTCACTGATACAGAAGATCACAGTGCCCTCCGAAATGTAGTCAATTGAAATAATATATACATATATATTTATATATACTTACATACTAATATGAATAAATGTTCATTTAAAACTCAAAAGATAAACCTCCTTTCTTGTTGTACAGACGTTTTCGGTGGAAAATTTTTCATTCATTTCCCCAAATTAAAAGATTGGTCTTCTGGAGAACGACTCAGGCATCTGTTGCTCTCACCGTGTGGTGAATATAACTGCTTTAGTCACTACTGTTAAACACTCAACACTGTTAAATGACCATTATTACACATACGAACGTATAACTACATCTATTTATGTACAAATCAGCGTGTCAATTCGCCCTGTGCGGAGTTGTTAAACAACAGTTAGGACATTAAGAACATAAACCTTATTTCACCAACTTCACATTGCTGCCAGATGTGACCCCACTGCTGCCCTCCACAAAGTATTTAATGCCCCCCCCCCCCTCCCTCTCTCTCTCTCTCTCTCTCTCTCTCTCTCTCTCTCTCTCTCTCTCTCTCTCTCTCTCGCTCTCTCTCTCTCTCCAAAGCAAAAAAAACAATGCGTATGGGTCGGGGGCCGGCGATGTCGCCCGTCGAGGGGGCCCGCGGTTTCACGGAGCGAAACACACCGCAGGACACTGTTGAGGAGGGCACGCAATCCCCCCCCTCCCTATTACCGGGGCCATTAAAGGACCTCCATTCAGACCAGGATTAATCTCATTCAGGAGACCTCCAAACGGGGACCCCGATGGAGCGCAAACACTATCTGGGGCTGCTAATAAGATAACCGTCGAGGTCCTCAGTCCCTCTCAGCGCATTAGTGTTCTCACTTTCAATTTGAAACTATTTTCATTATCCCCCCCCCCACCCCCCATAATTTGCGCTCCCCTACGCTGCCCAGAGGGAGAGAGGAAACCGAGGCTCCAGTCAAGAAGCGGTCCACCGCGCGCTGCCGTGCATTTCGAATGATCTGATTATGTCTCTGCGGCGAGTGGTGGAGAGGGAGGGGGGGGGGGGGTTGGGGGGGGGGCTGGTTCATATAAAAGAAGTGAGTGAAAACTGCTGTTTAGCTGCGGGAGAGCAGATACAATGACAAACTGTTTCTCTGAGGAGGCTGCAATGCAACGCAGCCAGCAGATGTGTGCGTCGTGAGGCCTTATTTCAAAAGAATGAGAATGTCTATTGGGGCGGGGGGGAGGGAGGGGGTTAGACTCAACAGCAATTTTAAAAGAAAATGACTAGAGGCCAAAGGGAAATACGTACGTCTTGATTGGTCATGTCCCAGTAAGGCTTCTCTCCGTACGACATCACTTCCCACATGACGATGCCGTAGCTCC